AAGACTTGCTTTTCAGCCAAGCACTTTTTTTCTTAAACCTAACCGTGTACGTTTAGTGCATAACCCAAAAAGGGAACGTTAAAAAGCAAAATGAAAGTGAAAGAAAGCCTGTCTCTATCCTTTCCAGGATAGGGACAGGCTTTAGGTTGAAGGTCGTGCGATTATGCCATCTGCCACTCCACCTGCCTGCTTATGCTGACTTGTGAGTCATTGTTCTTTCTCCCACAGGAAAATGGTACTAAGCTGGTTGCCGTTATGTGAAAGATTACAAGAAGGTGTTCCTGATTAAATGTTAGTTTTTATGGGTTACATGGGAATATGTTACATAGGAAAGGTAATATTTGGACATGAGTTGACACATGGAGCATTGGCAGCCTGTGCTTATTCCAGTCTCAGTGCTTTCTCTATAGGCAGGTTGAACCTCCGGATCCCCCAGGTCTTCCCAGTTGTATGCTGGCTAGTAAGAGCTCTGTTTCACCAGAGTGAAATACTATTTAGCCTGTTATAGAATATTTGAGCAAAACGCAAATTTATTACATGTAGGGCTGTGGATCATTGCGATTCATGTCCGTTTCTTCTTCTTCTACCCTTTTCCTTTTTCAGACTAAGTACCTGGAAGTGCACCTTTTACTCACAGTTTAATAGCTGCACACACTTAGTTCAATCAAAGAATGGGAACCCTTAACCTTGCAAGCCCTTGAAATTGGCCCCTGTGACAGAGCTGTCTTCATGTTGTTGTCTACCACTAAAAGGAAAAAGAAAAAAAAATAGCTGTGTAAGTGCTGGCTGCACACTTGACAAAGGCCAGATTTTAGTGTTTACCTCTTCTAGATTGCTGTTGGTGCACCAACACATTCCCTCCCTTTTCTTGTGAATACTTGAAGTGAGTGCTGCAGTCTACCTCTCTCCTACGGCTATCTCTTCCTCGTCGCATCCTCTTTAGCGAGGCTGATAATTAGCACACCGCAGAAATCAGAGAAAGATCAAAGTGTCGATGAGACCAGGGGAGGGATGATAAAAGAGACATTTACATTTTAGTTTCAATTTCAATGAAACTTTTCAGGTAAAATACATAAATTTAAAAAAAAAAGAAAGAGAGAGTGCAAAAGTGAGGGCGATCACACTGTGATCATAGAAAGAAAATATATACAGAGAGAATGAGAATGATGACATGTGCTTCCAATGCTACGTTTTTGTGTTTCATAAAAATCTAATTTGGTTTAAAATAAATAGTTTTTCACTGGAATCCCACCACTAATTTCACTCAGCCATCCGTTTGCATGCATCTTATCCAAACTGGTTGACAGAGAAGCTGTTAAAGCGATAGCTGTTACTTTAAAGACTGTTGTAAAGATAGAATTTGCTTAAGCAATGTCAAATTTTCTGAGCCTTCCCCTGCTAATTGTGGCTGATATCATCTTAATTATAACATATTTCTCAAAAGAAGAACAATAAAGAAAGCTGACTTTTTTGTTGTTGTTGTGAAGGCTCATTTTTAATTTTTCATCAAAACATTAGCAACATAATGGTGTCCTTTTCTCATATGAAGTATTCTATATTAACACTGTCAGCATTGTGCGATCAAAGCAGAGGAGCCTCTGTTACTCTTCAGGGATCATGTTTTATCTGCTGGTGATGAAAGTCAGCCTCATTTTGTGGGTCCTAAATAGGCCTGAGACCAAAATCATACAAAAAAGAAACACTGAAAGGTAATTACTCACAAAACAGCCTTTGGAAATTATTTAGTAAAACTAATGTGTCGTGGCTATTAAGTTGAGGCCATGTGTCACAGCGTACGAGAGCTTTTATTTCTGTGTCATATGTACTTTCTCTGCCTTTTCCCTCCCTTCCCCTTTCCCTCTTTTGATGACCCTTCCTTCACCAGATTAGCTTTTCTTTGCTGGACTTTTTGTCATCCTCTCTGGATATCTTTTCTCTCGCTCTCTCTTCCTACTGCCCTTAAAGGCCCATTAGTCTGTCTAACTACACTGTGATTACCAGACTTATGTATTCAATGTGTGATTACAGTGCCAACTTTGTCCTGCAAGTCTCTCTTTGACTGACTGTCTGACTGCTCAGGAAGACATAGCGATCCCTTGTGCGTTATCCAGCGTATTCATTTATGTACACTTCATGTGCTCATTTCTCACTTCTTCCTTTTCTTTTTCCAGCCCTTTCTCCAACTGTTATTTTTTCATTCTTTCTCACTTGTTGGCTCTTTCTTTCTTCTCTTTGCCCTCCTCTGCTGATTATTTTCTCTCATCATCTCTCTTTTGGCTTCTGCCTCAGCCTTCCTCTGTGTCTCTCCAGCACCTTTGCCCTCTCCCTCTCTAATCTTTTCCAAATGCTTCTGTGTTATCAGCGAACCACAGAACCATGCTTTGGGCACCCTTTGGTGTTAACCCAAAAACAATGAAATTAAATGTTTTGTAAAGGATCTTTCATTTTCCAGCAAGGCTTCCCGGATCCCTATCCAGTGCTCTAGTGTCTCATTTTCAAGCAAATCCCAAAATAAGAAGAATGAAAACTGCATTGTCCTCTGAAGATTTTGGCTATACAAACTGCAATAGCATTGCATAGAAGTCTATTAAATCCCTATACAGTTATGGTCTTGAAAAAATAGTAATAATAATAATAATAATATAAAGAAAATGTATTTACAGTAAATACAGTGATACATCTGCACACATTTGTGCCAGAGTGCATATTATTCTTGTCAGAGCGTGAGTCAGCCACAGGTTTTAGTCACCACTTCTTATACAGCTGAGTCAGACTGTGTAGGCTTCTGGTTTTTGTTTTTTTTTTTTGCTCATCAGGATGTCCTTGTGCCTTGTTATTAATTTCCACGAAGCCAGATATTTGTCATGTAGCAGCTGCGTATGCGATCAAAGGTCTTTACACCAAGAATCGCTCGGTATAAGGTGAAATTGTTACTTCTCAAGGAGTCTGTCTCTAACTGCAGTCTGTGTCGCTCAGGTTATTTTTGATAGCCCTTACAATCTCCTGAAGTGGTTGAAAGTTGAAGCAGAACATAAAAGTTAAAGCCAAGTAACAAGAATGAAAGTAGCACTTTCAAGGATAATAAAAAGCAATCTTTGCACAGTGTGTTCCTTGAAGTCTGGAGAAAAAAAAAATGGCTTTGTCTGGTTGTCACACCTCAGATTCCCTCAAAGATGTACGTGTTGAGAACACTGTAAGAGAAGTGTGGGTGAGTGTGTGTGTGCCAGTGGAGTGGGGGTGGGGGGGCCTGTTTAAGCAGACAAGCTTAAAGCATGGTTAATTTTAATATCAGCAAAATCCCTTAAAAATCAGGCGTTAATGCGGCTCACCATATGTCACTACAGATGTTGATATTAGATTATAGATTAAGATAAATGTGCTGATGATGGCTCTCGTGCACGCCTGCCGCATAGAACAGAATGTAAAACGACAATTGTTCTCAGTGCGACTGCTCAGCTACGTCCTCGCTAATGAACTCTGGTTCCTTTTTCAAATTTGGTAGAACGGATATTAAGATCTTTTAATAAAATGAGAGTTATTTTGGTTTTGCTCTCTTGATGAATATTTTGATCTAATACTTAATCTTGAAATTTGTTGCACCAGTATCTACATTTGTTGCTGTTGAATGATTTAATTATATATTATATCAATATAAAGAGATCTAAATAGTATTTCGGATTCAAGTACATGACAAATGAAGAAGTAACAGGACATAAAAATGATCTATGGCAGATGAATAACATCTGACATTATCTGAAACTGGAAAATAATATCCAGCAAGGACCTGGCGCAGGACCTGAGAGGTACTTCTGGCCCTTCAGTTGATCCATATACTGTTTGTTGTACAAACGTTATATGGATCAACTGGTGGCTATCGAGAAGCCATTCTTACCTGAATAAAAAAACACACAGTGGAGCACTATCTGTGGATTGGCCTCCCTACAGCCCAGATCTCAGCATTATTGAAGGAGTGTGGGATACTTTTTACTAAGAATTGAACAAAAGCTAGCAAACACAAAATAGAAGCGGTTTAAATATCCTTGAAGAAACCCCAGGATCTATTGCCGAAGACTACTTGAAGAAATTCCAAGAGTTCAGGCTGTGCTTCAAAATTAAAAGGTGATCTCATACCAAATATTAACATTCAAACATCATTAGAATTGCACTCTGAGCAACTCTAATGAGGTCTGTTTTTGCCTCATATACTGCGTTTCCATTTATGCGAGTGGTTCAAGACTTTTGAATGGTGTTGTACTTATTGTCCTTCAGTGGTGTACCTTAGGCAACGCAATGTAGCTTAACTCCTAGATTTTTTTTAAAGAAACTTTGCTGTATCCATTATTTGGCTGATTTTAAACGGGGAGATTTACGCCGGCTTTCACTCACTGCAGTCTGCTTCTTATGTAGCTGTCCCTGGTGCTGAAACCAGCTTCAAAGCTTACATTTTGTCTCTCTGAGCTGAAAAGAAACTGCATTTCCTGTTTTCCACTCTTGAAAGCTAAATAAGGGTGCTCTTTTTCTCCCGACTCTTTGTAAAAGTTCTATGGTTCTGTTTTGTTTTGTTTGTGGTTTTCTGTGTGTTGTGTGTGAAGCCAGGGCGTAAAGGAAAGCGCTTTGTCCAGCTTAAATCCTCAACAGATGGTGTTAATGCATTCATCAAAGGACAGGTTCCCTCTCAACAGATTTTGTCAAACCTTTCTCCATGTTAATGCCTTTCTTTCATTATTCCAAACCTGACGTGTCATTTTGCTCTTTGTGTTATTCATATTTACTCCAAACACTTTCAGAGACCAAATAAAACTGAACTATTATGCAAATGTACTGTAAATGACTAATTTAATACTATTATTTGCTTGAGTTAGTGTTAATTGACTTTTTTTATCATGCAGGTGAGGTACACTGTTGGGAAATGTATTTAAAAAACAAAGGCAAATACACTCTAATGCCACATGTCGTCTAACTCATGTCTGTCTTCCCTTTTTTTTTGTAATTTCCTGCAGTGGTGCTGCTGAATTCTAAAGAGACTCAAGCAGAGCTTGGCTGGACGTCCTATCCCCCTAATGGAGTAAGTATAGTTGTATTTTTCATTACCTGCATGTCATTTTTTTCATTTGTAGACGCATGTGTTTACTTGCCAGCCTCCACACAGCTTGTTACTTTACTTTTCCACACCTTTTCTTCAATTTGTCCCCAGTGCTGAGCTCATCATTATCATTAATCATTGGGACTAATCCAGGCTACTATATAGCAGTGTCCAAAGCAGCTACACAGATGAGCTGCCACAGATAAATGGCCTTTTGTGACGATCGATTTGGTCCGTAAAACCCTTTGCACTAAGTTATGACTGCAAGATAAATGCAGGAGCACTTTTGCCAGAGCAGTTTGTCATCCACGTGTCACCTGCAAGTTGGCCTTTCCATGCACACACACTTGATAAGTCTATTATATGAATAACATCACTGCTTTTAAATGTGCGTTGTTTAGGATAGAGGTTGCTGAAGCACTTGTGTTTGAGATGACTGCTGCACTACGTGCTCCACTATGCATAAGATTAATGTGACTGTGTGATTCACCTACATGTCCCAGTAGAAGTGATAGAGAACACACTGCACCCACTTTGATATAGTCACCTTGACAGGAGAGGGGCTGATCACATTACCATTGGAGATAATCCATTTCTCCTCTTTTGCTTTGTGCACGTTTGTGTATTTATGAGAGAGGGAGAGCAGTTCATATTTGCTGCTCAGTTCACTTTCAATTCTGTCAAGAGCGCCTCGGTAATTCAAATAGTGACATGGAGTCATAATCATTCATCTGATGGATAAATTATATATTTGATTAAGTTTTTCTCGCTCTTCCAGACTGAAAGTAAATCAGAAAAACAAACTCTGCCCTGAGGCAAATATTAGGAAACTATAAAAAGCATTCTTAGAGTGTTTAGAGGAGTTTAAACTTTTAATTCCTCAAAAATAAAATAAAATAAATTTAAAAGATAAATAAAATGCTATATTATTCAGTGGTTCCTCACCTTAAAGAGAATACTTGTGACTCCTTCCCAATGGCTGAAATAGGGTGTGCACATACACCAGATTTTTTTTTTACTACTACCACTTCTTCTAAAACAACTAATAATAATAATCTTTTGTTAGCAAACAATCCAGTAATTATCAATTATTTGGATCAATATTTAGACAAAAAAACACCCTTAATCTATTCAGCAAGGTGCAGAGAGTTCTTTAGAACAGAGAATCTCTGTCAGTACCAATATCGTATCAATATTTTAGGCTACACCAAAGCTGCAAAAAATAAATAAATAAATAAAAACTATCTGTAGGCTGAAGGCCAACTAACAAAGCCCTTTAATTGAGCTTGCTGTGTCTTTTTTT